CCCCCCCCCCCCCCCCGCCCCCCCCCCCCCCGCCCGCCCCCCCCCCCCCCCCCCCCCCCCCCCAAGTTTCAAAAACCGAAGTTCAAAAAGATTTTCTGGCAAGTTTGATAAAGTAAAAGAAATAATACAAAATTTGACATTTTTTCATTTCAGAGTTACAGTTTTATAATTCGTTACCTTCATACTTTGCAGACACACGAAGGAAACAGCATTTTTTCATTGTTCTTTCATATCCTTCACAAAATAAAATACTAAATTCTAGACTGTTTTTGTTGCTGTTATTTTACCTAGGTATCTTAGAAATCCAATAGTGGAAGCAGCTATTAGGAATATGAATTTTATTTTTGTATTAATTACTAGATCATTTTTTTGTAGCTTTAGCATTAGTGGATCATAGGTAATCGACCACGTTGATTATTGTGGCGATGTTCGTTTAATTCCCCACCCAACCACAACTCCAGAAAAGTCAATTTGGTGAAAAGGCCGGTTTTTCGCCTGTTACCGTCAAAAATTAAAAACCGTATATTTCACTCATTCTAAAAAGACTAAAATTTCTCGTCCAAAAAGACAAAAGTTTTTAGGGAATTATTAGCAGAGATCATACAATGTAGGTCTTTAGTCGAAACGATCTAATCTGAGCTTTGGTTCCGTGGGAGGTTTTCCAGGGATCCGCTAAAAAGTCGTATGCATAAACTGATAACACTAAGTAACTTTTTTCGAAAAAGTTCGCCTAAATCATCTAATATACAAGTCGCATTTTCTCTGGTTATACACAAATTATTACAGAAAAAAATGTATATCTTCGTGAACTTTTTGTAGCCGAATGTACTGGAGATTGCTAAATTGTCGACCATCATCGGACCTACAAATTGATATACCATGAAATATTTGATCATTCTTATCCTAAACTCTGTAATGGTTTTAAAACAATGGTATAGATATTGGCATTAGTAGTGGTCAAATTTTTCTCTTTTTACCATTTTCTCAAATTAATATCTGTCAATTCGGAGCTCTTGAATATCTGATTTTGTAGAGAAATGCCAGCTTTACAATCCTGTCGTATCCAAAAAAATATTCGTTGGACATTTTCGGAAATACAAGCTGTTTTTTTGTAACGTTATTGAAATAGTAGTGGATGCATTCATATTTGAAAAGTTCGACTTTTTGGGAACGCTCCGGCCATGATGAGACATTAAATTTGGTACCATTCGAAAGTACTCTTCACGCTCTTTCAAGTGATAGCATATTCATTTGAAACCAAGAGCTGAAAAATTTCTACGGTTCCATGACTATCCTCCTTTAAGGTGTTGATCAATTATCAGCAATATTAAATTGTTTTGATATTAATTCACTTCGAATCGATAATAGTTTATCAACGATAAAATCGAGTTTTTCATCTAATTTGTTTACAGTACCTTCTGTTTTAGTTGAGGATAAACGAAGCATTAAAACATCAGGATTTTGATTGTTAATGATTTGTGTAGTAAAATCAACTACAGTTAATAATTTTTCAATTGTCTGATTTACATTCTTCATGACAATATACATTTATTTAATTTCAAACATTTATATTGATAATCATTTTGTTTCTCGATTGAAAATAATTTTTCTTTTAATCGATCAATTTCTTCTTGTTATTCTTCAACTAAAATCATCGACATACATTAATGACTAAAAACTTATTAAAACCGTCGTATTTTTTACTACTTGTTTGCTTCCTGACAAATAATTTATGTATGATTTTAATAATTCATTTTCATCTTGTAACTCTTGTAAATGTTTTCGTAAATCTAAACGTTCACGTTCACATTCATTTGACTTCATATTAGCTTGTTTAAACTAAAATAAAAAGATCAGCATACTATTACTCCAATTAGATTAGAAAATATTGATTAGAAGTTCGATCATACTTTATGTATTTACCTGTTCTATTGCTTGCTTCACTTTTTCATCTGATTCTGTTTGACAAATAGCCATTTGTTCATACAGTTGTTGGAGATCATATTCGCGTTTTTTGAAAATAGAAGGAATCAATGACTAAAATAACAACTTTTAGTAAATTTTCACCTACTGTAATAGTTCTTTTAATGGTGATTCAACATCCTCCGAAATACTGTTATATTCCTAGTCAGTCACCTATATGTTTTGAAAATTCGTTTTAACGCGGTTTTAGCATTCATAGAGCGCTAGAATATACAGTTTCACCATGAATACGGCGAATTTCTTGAGCTTTAAATATACGCCTTAATCAAAGCCGACTTTTTGCCATCAATAATTCGCGACAAACGCGTTTATGACCATTACAACTTTTTAAAAACGCGTTTTCGGTCGAAATAGACTTCAGGACTCGCGAACGGCACCGAATTTTTCGTGTTTAGGACTCAATTGAAACGAATTTAACGCGTTTTGGCCAAGAATGAAATCTGAAAAACGCGTTTCACTTTTTCAAAATTTATTAGATACTTTCTTGGACACGTAAAACCGTTTCGTAGGCTAAAGTCGCGAAATTAGCGCTTCTATAACAAATAAGTGAGTGAAAAACGTGTTGTTAACGCAATGCAACGCGACAAACGCGAGATTGGCTCAAGAGTCGAAAAAACAATTTTGAAGCTAAACTTGCGTTTTTTTAAGATGCCTGTCACTGACTGGGTACTTGTTTATGTGCAGAAACATTTTCAAGAATTTCTGAGACCGCCGTTGGATTCCTCGACAAAAGTTACTTCGGGAAACTTAGCCGTTAACTATATCAGATATACTATTGGGCCTTTGAGTTTTTTCTATATAAATTTTGTTTAGTGTGACTATACCATGCAATGACAATGCAACGCGGCAAACATCTCGACGAATAACCGCTGACAAAGGGTGATGTAATGTGAAACAGAGAAGACGTATTCGATTGTGACTCTATTCTTTCTATCTTTTTGCATCATTAGGCGAAATACAACCAATACGTGCTTATCTATTGTCTAGAACAGCCATCAAAGCAAAACAAACTAGAAGCCAACTGTGCGAAAATCGGAGTGTTCTTAGAGTTTACCGATCCTTGAAATTATTTGACAGTTCCAATACATAAATCAAAGACATCTAAATTTCTAGATAAATTTGTTATGTGTATTCAGATGTATTTGTGGTGATAGACGCGGCTTTTGATCAGTTAAGTAAGTTAAATGCATAAAGACTTTTTGTACCATTTTATGTTTAATGATTCAATGCATTCTTCACTTTGCATGTATATACGAACATATATGTGCGATTTGCGTTGGTATTGTACAGTGTGAGTGAAAATTTCCAAAAAACATAAACTTGAATGAGATCTTTTTTCCGTTATTAGGTTATATAATGCTAACATTGGTGATTAACGGAAAAAACGTTTCCCGACTGTCAGTCACTTTGTTCTCTTAAAATTCACTTTTTTCTTTACAAGGTTTGAAAAGCGATAATAATGCAGAGACATAAAAGTTTGAAATCGTAGTTTCTAAACGTAATTTGCTTGCCTTATTTGGTAACTAAACAGTCTGTTAAGAATAATTAGGATAAATGATGTCTAAAAGCGACCGAGAAAGAAAATAGTGGGGATCGAAATCATTCACAATTCTTCGTACAATAATGGGGTGTGTCTGTTCTCCTCCCGCCCTCTATAGGTATTTCCACGTTGTATCAACTTTACGTGATTTGGCTCCAATCATTACAGCAATTACAACCATATTTTTCCACTATAGAGATAGAGATGAGATAATACGTGTAACTGTAGTTCGTAGATTGAACAGCATGTCATAAATCCTTGTAACAAACAGTTTATATTCTCTTTCATTTGCTGAGTGATCATTGATGCTCAGCATACAAATTAACTCTTTTAAAAACGTATTTTAACGATGTATTTTATCTTTTACTTGTTTCTTTTATACGAATAATAGCAACTTTGATACATCCCAGCACAATCATCATGCATGAGTAGTTTCCATTTGAAAGATATATGAAATATCTAGCTTATCAGTCCGTCAAAGAAAGAATGGAAGTTAAGTATATTAAGCTCATATTTTTCGCAAAAGTGCGATTTGCGCTGGTATTGTACGGTGTGAGTAAAAATTTCGAAAAAACTAAACTTGAATGAGATCTTTTTCCGTTATTGGGTTATATAATGCTAACATTGGTGATTAACGGAAAGAACGTTTCCCGACTGTAAGTCTCTTTGTTCTCTTAAAATTCAGT